TGTAGCTCCTTCAAACAATATACAATGCAATTTAAAAACAGATTACAGGTTTTCCCAAGAGGATGCATTCTCCAACTCAAAAATCACGTGACTACTATGTGACTTTAAACTGACTTAAAAACCCCAGATCCAGCACCTGATTTATTTCATAAAATGCAATCATAAAATGAGGATCTTAAAATGCATCCTCACATGCATTTTACAAAACCCAAATGTGATGCTGTGAGAGAATCCTCTCCAAATCTACCCAGCAACAACAGAAATAAAGAGATTGGCTGGAAAAAGGTAGGAGGAGTGCCAATCCAGAGGAACCAGCAAGAAGTATATAAAGAAGACCTGAAGAAGACAAAAGGAGGAGAGAGTTATTTTGTTTCCCAAGGAAGGGAGGTTGGGTTTCAGAGTGTGCTGTGAAAGAGACATACACCATAACAGGTAGAGCAAGGTCTAGTGTGAGAGAGTTGGCATGTAGTAATGTAACCTTAAGCTGAAGAATATGCAGTTTATGAGTTATATTTCAACCAATCAATCAGTCAATCAATCAATCAATCAAAGAGAATCAGGATTCTTGGCAACAAATGGAAGCAGTGAAGTGTTTGCAGGAAACTGTCAGTAATCTACTTCTCATACAATTCATTGTTCTCACTGAACTCTTTCCTTTGCTTATTAGCCTGAAGCAGCTTTCAGGCAACAAATTTATTTCACAGCAGAGAGCTTTGCATCCTGTGGTATTGTGGTCACATCAGTCAATTAACTTGCTCAGTGTTTGTTGACATCTTACTGGGCCATCAGTGCAAATGCAGACACCTGGCTGCTTTTATTTAATACTGATGTTGTAGGAATTGTGAAACAGCAGAAATTGGGCAGATGAGCTTTAAGTAAAAACCATGACTACAAATGGCTTACAGAATATCAATGCAGCAAGTTTAAAAGCAGATGTGATTGTGATTTGTTTATATGGGCTTTCAAGAGTGAAGTGGGGTGAGTGGAGTAAGGAGACCACAAAAGTGCACTTTTAGATCACTAATGGTGATTAGGAAATTAATGGTGGCAATCAGCAGGAGACTCCGTTAGCATACTCCATTGCAAACATTTAAAAATTATTGAAGTGCTACTGCTGTAGCAACACGGGGAGAAAATGTACATGCGGCATTGTACATGGTGATGCAGTGTATACTTACTAATTTTTATAGTATTTGATTGTCCTTACTCCTTATGACCAAACATTTCCCATATTCAGTAGATGAATTGCTTGTTTTCAACATGCACAAACCTGCTTTTTCTTTCCTGATGAAATTCTTCATGAGACAACAGAAACAAAAGGGCCACCAAGGAGTATAAAATAAGAAATCTAAATCTCACACACCACTAGAAGTTAAGGTTCAGTATCAAGCCTGGCCAAAGTCTTGGGAGCTCTGCCTGTTCTAAGAGAATGTGGAAACAAATATGGGTCTACCACAAAGCACTACAGTGATCCATTTGCCCTACAGGAAGCAAGCTTGTGTGTTCACAGGTTGCCCATCTGTCTCAGAGCATTGGAAGGAGGGAAGAAATCCACCATAATGCACATGAGCTAAAATAACAGTAGCAAGTTCACCCACAGATGGAGCTTATTTTAAAAATTGCTCCAATCCATTCTGACTTGAATGCTTGTAATTGAGGCAGCCCTAGTGGATATAACTTTGACTCTAATTTACCTGGTAATGATATGCTTCAACTTGTGGAATCTGAGAATGTGGGCAAGAGCCCTGGATCCTTCCCCATTCTGGCTCATAAATCCAGTAAGAGGAGGTCTGGTTGAGAGGGTAGAAGGAGCGGTGAATGCCTATTTTCAAAAAGCAGGCTTCCAGTATGTCTAAAATAGGCAGTTGTAAGACCATTGGTGAATATGGTCACACTGGATAACTACCAGCAATTCTTCCAGTATCCCATTCTTCACCTAAGTACAGTATGTGCCAGCTTCCCAGCTCCATATATTTCTGGATGAAACAGATTATCTAGATCCGTTTCAATCTGGCTTCCTCAGGCTTGGGTATGGGACAGAAACAGCTTGGGTTGCCTTGGTGGGTGACCTGTGCCAGGGACTGGATAAGGGAGTCTCCTGAACCTCTCAGTGGCCTTTGATACCATTTACTAAGGTATCTTTCTAGGTTGTATCTCTGGCATAGGACTTGGTGGCTCTGTTGTACAGCGGCTCCAGTTCTTCTTAGTAAACTGATTTAAGAACATAGGAACTCCTGTTTGACCCCCTGGCCTTTGGTCTATGGTATTCCTCAGGGCTCTGTGCCGACACCTCTGCTATTTAACATACACATGAAACCACAGGGAGAAGCTTCCAAAATTCAGTACCACCAATATCCTGATAAAGGTGGCACTGAACTCCAAAACTCTGGAAATCTCTTCCACTCCTGTTTCATCTTTCCATCTAAATCTGAAGAAGCTGCTTTAGTTCTAAACCACTATCTAGAGTCTGTAATGGTAGATAATGGTGAACAAAATTATATTTAATCCAGACACATCAAAGGTGTTCCTATTTGCTTGTAAAGCAGATCAGGGAATAGGGATTCAACCCAGGTTCCAGAACACTTTGTCTAAAGAGGCCAAGTTTGCCCCCCCCCCCGCTTTT